TTTTCTCCATGGGGTGGCTTCCAGTAGCTTATCTACCCCAACAGAAACAGAACATCCATTGTCCCAGAGTTCTAGCAAATGCCTTAGAATTCACTCTGATTGGCCTGGACTGGGTCGTGTTTGGGATGAGGGGCAGAGCCAACACCACAGAGCCACCCAAAATGGTTGGGGGGGCGCCCTGCTCCGTGAAATGAGGACCCCATTACCAGAAGATGCATGTCTCCACTTTACTCATATATGAAAATGGCATGAGTGATTTCTTTGCATTTTTCAAGTGCTAGAAGAATATTTCCTCCATTCTTTGTGCTATTTGCGATATAGTGGTTACACATTTCAGGTTCGATCTGCATTATCAACACTTACTGCCTCACTCTCTTAAGTCTGGACAATCAACAAAGAGCAAACCACTCCCTGTTCCCATTTAGAGAGTGTAAATATTGCCCACCTCAAGCTACCACTGTGATGAAACTGGGTGCAGAGCTGGGAACAGGTGCGCCACAATGCACTGTTACACAGAGTTTTCATCAATCAGATATGCAGATGTAAACAGTCTCAAGAACAAAGATCAAAGGCCAATGGATAGTAGCCCATGGTCCAAATTGGGCCCATGGCTCGCCTTTGAAAGGCCTACAAATAATTCTATATTTTGAAAGGGTTGTAAAAATAAACAAACAAAAGAAATAACTGCAACAGAGGCCATATGTAGCTTTCGTCTTACTTACTAATGAAAACAAAAATATGAACCTGCATTCACCCTGTTGGAGCTACATTTATTCATCACTTGCAAACCATAGATTGGCTACAGATACTACAAATCAGCAAAAAATCAACGAACGTGTTCAGTGAAAATCAACAGACTATAGGGATGGTATCGAGTGCAACAGATAGTATTGCATATTTCATTATTTTCCTAAATTGCGTTGTTTTTCCTAAATGTCCTCTATATTATAATTTGTAGTAAATAAATGTGCTTGTGTGTATGAATGCACAGTTTATTTTTTCCTATCAGTGCTTGTTGCTGGCCCAGCCCAGGGGAGGTTCCCAGGAATGAACCCATGAACAGTCCCAAAGGTGTTGTTCTCTTTCTCCTTAACCCTCTATGGTTCCACATTATCGGGGAAATGATCGAAAAAGCCTCGCTCTCCATCTCCAAGCCTTTCCTCCACTCTTCCTCCTTCAGGATGGAGGTGGGTGTGCTGTGAGGAGAGTCAAGGGAGCTAAGGGCCTTGGGCACATGTGCTCCCTGGGCGGCTTCCCTCTAGGGGAGCTGGACTTGGGGGGTTTTGCCTTGATTTTTCATTGCTCCCAGGGCCCCACACCCTGTGACTAATGGGGCTTTAAGGAGCGTTTGTGGAATCCCTGCCAGGAAAGTGAGCTTCCCAGGCCTGAGAGCCGCAAGCCCCAAGGGCAGGCTCTCAGGGTTTCCTAACCCTCCGTACCCAGACAAAACACCACTCACATAGGGGCGTATCTCGCAGGTCCAGGCAGGAAGGGCTGTGGCCCAGGACGGGGGGGGGCGGCCCTCAGAGCCTCAGGCCCTGGGGGTGGGCCTGCAATGACGCCCTTGTCCCACCGGCATCTTCTCCAGGCTCCCTGCTTACAGGCAATGGAGTTAAGCTGAAAGTCAAGGATAAAGGTGGGGAACTGCGGGACCAGGTGTGGGAAGGGGGCAGGAGCAAGGAAATGCCATAGGGTTGAGTTGCAAGATCCACAGGCCTGGACTCAGGGCCCAGAGCCTGGAGCGGGTATGCGCCTGTGACGAATGTCCTCAGAACTTGTTCTAACTCAGCTTTGAGTACAAAAGGGAACACCCGATTGGCTGGAGAGCAAGGGTATTAGCCTTTAGCTTTTTAAGCTGGGCCCCAGGGTCCCCACTCCTGTCAAGACTGAGCACAATGGGGGCAGAGGGGGCTCCCCCAAAGGCGGTTGGGGGATGGATGCCAGACAGTCAAGCTTGATCACGCCTGTCACAAGCCCCAGCCCACCCCGGAGAGAGACTTCCGTGGGGGAAGCATTGCCCTACCGTCTGAAGGACCACGTGAGGCTGGGGTGACTCAGCGTCACTGAACCGTTGATGGAGGTCCTGACTTAGCCTTGTTGGGGTAGGGGTGGGGGTGGAAGGTGTCTTGGAGACAGAGCAGAGTCAAGGTGGTTGGCGTGTGGCTGTCCCCCTACCCCAGTGACGGTGATGATGTGTCAGGAAGGCCAGGTGGCTTGATGGGACACAGACCCATGCCCCAGGTTTGCAAAGCAGCCTCTGGAACCCCAGGGCCTAATCCACCAGTCCTGTGTATAACCCAGGCCTCCACGACACCACCAGCTCCCCAGCCGAGTCTCGGCCCCCTTCCTGGAGAGCTCAAGGATCACCCAGTCTGTCCAGTCCGAGGCTCAGAGAGGGTACCCCTGAGCTGAGAAGTCCCTACTGCTGGCCTTGAGGCAAAAAACAGCCGACCTTTATCTCATACCCCAACCCTGCCCCCCCTGCTAAATAGGGGAGCCTGCAGAGGGAGGGAGGGAGGCCACCATGGTGGCTGGGGGGCTGGGCTTGACAGGTGTTCAGCCTCTCGGGGTCCTCAAGGGACAGAGGTGCCGCTGTTCTCACAGAAGCAGGTCTGTAGCTTGGGCCAATTGTCCTTGTGACTACCCCTCAGCGTGGATTTGTAACTGTTCCCATGGCATAGTTCCAGGTGTAGCACATGTCCCAGGTACCCTTTGTTCCTGCCACCTGCCCCTTGAAAGTATAGTTCTCCGGAACAAGGATCTGATTGGTTCAGTGTCAGACATACTGAGCATCTGTGTTGGGCAGGGCTGTCCTGCCAGCTCTCCCCTCCCCCCCCAGGAGGGATCGCCTCCCCCTTTGCCAGCCCACTCCCCACCAGCACCCTAATCAGTCCTGGCCAAGGAGTGACCATGTGAATGAATGAGAGGAAAGGAAGGGAGGGAGGGAGGGAGAGGGAGCAGGGTTTCCCCAGGGCTTCTGGTCAGACCGAATCACACCCCCTTCCCAAGGCTTGCACACCTCTGTCTGAGCTTGTCTCACCCTCGGCCTGTCCCAGAGTTGGGGTGAAATGGAGCTGTCCTCCTGTAGGCAGAAGTAAGTGTTCAGCAGCTGCATCTTGAAGTGATAAATAAATGCTTCCTGACTTCAACAGGGACTTGAAATACCTCCTCCAACAAAGGGCTTGAATCTTATTTATCTGGTATCTTCCTTCTCTGTGCCCAGAACAATGATTCACACAGTAGGGGTCCAATAAATGCTCCTTGAATCAAATTCAGAGCACTTACGGATTGCCGCCTGATTGTCAGGCACCCTCCCTCCCTGGCCTAGAAGGAAGTAGTGTTTCCTAAGCACCTATTATGTGCCAGAGACTGTGCTAGACACATTTAACCCCACGACAACCCTGTGGTGTAGGCACTATTATTGTACCCCCTTTCCAGACAAGAAATGCGAGGCACCAACAGGCCACAGAACTTGCCTGGGTAGTGGGGCTGTGGTTCCAGCCAGGCAGTCTGGCTCCAGAGGTGACACATTTACCTGCTTTCCCCATTAAACAAGGTATTAACCTCTGGGATTCAACAAGATGTTCTGCCGCCATTGGAAATTAGAAAAATATGATTATAAATTAATGTCTCCAACAGATGTCCATAATGGGCATGCCCCACCCATCCTTGGGGAGATGGGGCTAAGGGACAGAGTGAAGGTGCCCCTTCATGGGTGGCTCAGAACAGGAAAAGCTGCCAGTCAGATGACTGTGTTTGTCGGCCACAGTGGAAACATTGTGTCCTCGTCTCCGGAGGTTTGACACCTGTGTTCTCCCAGGGCAATTGTGAAAGAGCAATACCCTTGACCGCAGGACGGCCGGTGCCACATCACGCTCCTGCTGGAGGCCCAGGGGGCCGTGCCAGGCTCCTGGCGGGCAAAAGCGGCGAGGGCACAGCCCGCCCCCAACGCCGTGGTTTTCACAGCAGGAGCCCCCAGGAGGCCTGGACCGCCCTCTTGGCCTGGTTTGCTCTCTACGAAGCTACTTGCCACATTCTGCATAACAAACCCTGCCTGCCCCAGACAAGACAGGAACCCGGTCCCTCCAGGGACCCTCAGCCACCGGGGCAGACAGCCACATATTAAAGGTCTTGGCTCCAAATCCAACTGGGGCAGAAATACTTCCTGGCGGAAGCTCATTGCATTTCACTAAATGATTCTGTGTGACTGTGTCAGTGGGTTGCAGACTTAGGTGCTTGTTAAACATACAGGTCCCCCTGACCCGTCTTAGACCTAAGAAATCAGACGGGGGCAGGGGTGGGGGCTGGGAGGGGAAGTGGGGTGGAAGCTTGGCGACCTTTCCCCCTCACCAAGCGACTCAGCTGCGTAACCAGGTTGGGAAAACATTCAGATGAATGAAGCACGCGGTCTCTGCGCCTCTCCCCGGTGCTCGAACTACGCCCCTCACTACGCCCCTCACTCGCCGGCCCAGACAGGCCGGCCTTCTCTTTCCTGAGCACATCAAGCTCTTCCCGGCACCAGGGCCTTTGCTCCTGCTGTCCCCGCATCAGGGGTGCTGCTCTCAGACCTCAGTGCCAAGGCCTCTCCACCCAGGCTCACTGCACCCCGCGCCGCCCCCCGCCCCCGGCATCCTCAGCCTTAGCCTTTCTGTTCCTCCCATGCAGTCATTGTCTCTCCCCAGCAGCCTGTGAGCTTCACGCCAACTCACCGCTGCGAGCCCATTGCTGGTGTATACAGTAGGTGCAGCATAGGCGGCTACCCAATAAATACACGCAGTGGCACAGATTCACAGAAAGGGCAGGGGCCAGTTAATTCTAGAAGGTGGTAGAGGAAACGCTCACCAGGCAGCACCAAGGGCAGGCCAGACAACAGGAAGCGTTTCACCCGCCCCCACTCACGGCGCCAGCCCCCTCCTCCTCCCTCCAACGCAGGTTCCTCTGCAGCCCCGCGGGCACCAAGTCCCTGTCCCCACACCACCATCAGGAACGTGGAGCCAGAAGAGTATAGATAAGTTTATTGTCATTCAGGTATTTCATACAAAAAGGAACATAGCAATCGGTTTAGGGTTTATGAAAAAAATATTAAAAAATGCGGGTTTGCAGATGTTGCTCTATTTACACTGGGGAGCGGGCTCTCCCCCGGGGTCACGCACAGCAGCTGCACTTGTCCGACGCCCCTTTGCAGACGCAGCCCTGGGCGCACTTGGCACAGCCGGCCGGGCAGCAGGCGCAGCAGCCTGGGGACAGCAGGGAAAGTGGGAGGTCAGAGATGACTTCAGCAGGCGCCTCCCTGCCCCACAGCAGGCCTGGCATCAGCTCCCCACAATCCCCCCAGATGACGCTGAGTTTGAGAATGGCACATGCTGTCCTGAGACTATTGGTAGGACCTCTGGAAAAGGTCCCGCCCCCTAGGAGAAGGTTGCCCTGCCATTCTGAGTCCAGATGGGGCAGAAAGCCTGGAGGGGCAGTGCCAGGGCCTCTGGGGGCCATGGAAGTCGGCCCCCAGCCTCCTAGACCCATACAGTGCAGTAAGGGAAGTCCTCAAGATTGGAGAGGGGGCAAAGCCCAGCCACAGCACTGCCCAGGAGCATCCGGAAAGCTCGGAGCTGACTCCACAGGAAAGGGTTGCACCAGCAGGTCAGAGAAACCAAGTTCATGTGCATAAACTGCTCGGGATACTAGAGGGGTCAGGAGGCTGCCTCAGGAGACAGGTTCTGGTTCTGGCTCTGCCTTGACTGTATTTGGTGACTACTCAGGACCTTAGAGTCCTGTTCTAGGATGAGAGGTTAGACTCAACCACCTCTATGGCTCGCTCTGCTCTGATTCTGATTCAGTCGTTGAAGAGAAGTGGGTGGGGGTCGGTGGGGAGGAGGTCGGGAAGAGATGCCTGGACACTGGTCTGCTGCTGCCTGCTGGGCTGCAGTTCCCACCTCAGCCTTAGCCCCGCCCCTAGATCCCTAGAGAGGGCTCCTTACTTTTCTTGCAGGAGGTGCATTTGCAGTCTTTGCATTTGCAGGAGCCGGCGCAGGTGCAGGTTCCACCTGAGAGGAGGAGACAGGCAGGGAGATGGGTGAAGCAGAAGACACAGCGGTCAACCAACAGTCGCTCCCTGCACTTCCTCTGTCAGGACGCAGCGCCGGGAGCACCTGTCCCACTCAGGCCATACAAAGACAAGCCTCCCTTTCTCTCTTTTAGTACCAGGAAGGTAGGTTTCCCTCCAAATTTTACCCCAAAGGGAAGTCCCAGGCTCCAGACACAGCCCAGGTGGACTGGGGCTGGGGCCAGGGTCACGTATCCTGAACTGGAACCAGCCTCCACCTCCCATCAAGTCTTGGCAGCTGCCAGGCCTGGGCCGAGCCCTGGGTCCCAGGCCCCCTACCCACTGGTTAACCTGGAGAACAGCCACTCTGAGCCTCAGTACCCTCAACTCTAAAACAGAGGCGAAGGGAAACTGGAAATGCTCTCAGCAGCTTGCCTAGGAAGGACGCACTAACCAACTGCAGGAGTCCACTACAGCCATAATTAGAATACCCCCTGCTCCACCCCAAGGACACTGGTCCTGTGCCTGGGAAAGGAGCGACCTACGGCCAGAGCCGGGGGGCGGGGGGGGGTGCGGTTCTCACCAGTGCAGGAGCAGTTGGGGTCCATTTCGATGAGAGGTGAGGCAGGAGGTCCACAGCAAGAGGAGAAGAGGCACTTGTGCTTGTCCAAAGCGTGGTAACTCCTAGGAGCCCGCGTGCTCACTTTATAGCCAGAGGCGGCCGGGCGCAGCGGCCCGGGCGCAGAAGCCCCGCCCCGGCGCTTGCACCCCGCCCGCCAGAATCGGTGCCGCCCGCAGCGCGCTCGGCGGGCTGAGCGCACCTGCCGGGGCCGGGCGCACTTTTCCCGGAGCTCCGGTGGCGTTTGATCACGTGGAGGGGCTTGTGCGGCACAGGGTGTTCCAGCTCCCGGCCCGTCCCAATTTTCCCCAAGGGGCAGCCACCCCTGTTCCCGGGCGTTCCGGGAACTCAGCCCCTGAGTCTTAGCGGTCTTCCCCACCCCTGCCCCCTTAGTCTTTGTCCTCAGGTTCACCTTTTCCCGGGCCCGTGTGCAAACCCAGTCTTGTCGCTCACATCCCTGACTGGGCTGGGGCCCAGGACTTGTGTGCAGAGCCCGTGGTGGACGTGACCTTCACCCCTCACTCCCTCATCCCCCCACCCCCGCATTGATGTCTGTCCGCGGGTGTTTCCTGTTTACAGCAACACGGACACTAGGGGCCCCTTTCTCCTTCCTTGCATTCTCCACGACCGGACACTAGGGGCCCCTTTCTCCTTCCTTGCATTCTCCACGACCGAAGGGATGAACGGGCACATTGTCGTGGTCGTCCTTGGCCTAAACTTCCCAGCGCTTTCCTAGTATGTCCACCTCATTCCAGGATGGAGGTTAGCAAAGTATGGGATGTACCCGCCCCCCCTCCACCCCCCAGCCCCCGGCCCTGCCCTGCCCCGCCCCTGAGAAGGGATCCTTTTAGGCTCTAGGCTGACCTGGCATAAACAACAAGCCAAAAAAAATTATTTCCCTTTCACTGTTCATGACAGTTACACGACATTTAATCTGTACCAGGCCTCGTTAATCACTTTCACTCTTTAAACCCTAACAACAACTCTAAAGGGAAATCTTAGAATTACACACAACACAGGGGGATTCTAAGGAACTCACAGTCACGGTGCTGGGAAGTGGTGCCCTGGATCTGATCCCTATCGCTTCCAAGGAAACAGAAAGAACCTTCTGTCTGACTCAGAGGTGCATCTTCACCACCTCTCTTGTGTCCCAGCGGAACCCTGGGAGCAACAAAATGATGCCTACAAAAGGGATAGATATATTATAGAACACATATAGTATATCATTTATATGTATGATTTTGTGGTTATCTTCTATGTTTAGAAGCAAACTGATTCTCATTTTCAGTAGTGATAAGGCATTTGCTTGTGATATAAATATGTTTAAGGAAATACGGATGGTTTAAAAATTGTTAAGGAAACTGCCGGTGCAGGTGATAGCAGAAATGGTGGCTCCTTCTGTTGACTGTCTTGCTCGTGCGTTATATCCCTCGTTTGAATTCCTCTTTGTGGGGAAGAGGCTGGCCTCCTCCAGACCACCAGCCTCAGGCCCGCGTGGTGGATGAAATCAACCTGGGACAGAGCTAGCACACCAGGCCTGCCGTGTTTGTCTGCAAGTAGGAAAGTGTCTCCCATGCTATGGATGGTACATATAAAGTAACAGCTAATATTAGAGGTTACTCACAGAAGGCCAGGTTTCGTTCTAAGTTCTTTGCATGTATTAAATCATTCAGGCCTAAGAGCCAGACACTTATTATTTTCCCTTTTCATAGTGGAGGAGAGGGAGCCACAGACAGGTAACTATCCTCCCCAGCTATCAGCGACACAGGTGGGACTGGCGCTCACACCGGCTGCCTGCAGCGTCAGGCCCTCGCCTGCTGCCTGGCGCCATGACATCACATGAAAGAGAAGGACAGGGAACACCTGGCCCAGAGGCAGTGGGACGAGCACTGAGTGGCAACCAGGTCCCTGGACATGGCCTGGGAGTTCTCTGGGCTCCAGTTTGCCGTCTCTCAAGCCAGAAACACAATAGGACTCTCTCAAAGGACCCTTCCAGCCTGGATAACAAGAGACAGGACTTAACACCCAGAGACACTACAGTCCACCACCTGTGGGCAGGGGATGAGTCAGCCAGAGGGTAGGTTCAGGCCTCTGACGACGAGCTGTGTGATCTTGGGCAGGTGGCTTAACCTCTCTGGAAGGTGACACAATCATTCCAGCCCCCAGACCTTCCACTTTCTCACTGGTTCCTGGGCAGAGCAAATGACTTGATAGGTGGGAACGGCTCCATGTCTGTGCAAATGTTGTGGCCGCGTCTTGTCCCAGGGGGCTTACTGCAGCTTATCCCCATTCTGCACAGCACTGGGTCAGCGAGTTTCCAGTGCCATCTCTAGCTTCCGACCCAGAACAATGCTTCAGAATCAGGGAGCCTTTCTCCCTCCAAGAGCACGTGGGAGTAAAAGGATCCTCGCCACATGGATGTCGGTGTGGACAGAGTGATCCTAACGGCCCGCTGTTTAGTGAGCCCCAGCCTGGAGCCAGGACACTGTCAGTGGTTCCTCACTTAGAGATCTCAAACGGAGGAAAGGCCTTCTCCCGGTCACACGACCAGGACTGGGCCTAGCGGCCTGTGAGCCAGGATGCCTGACGCCGGAACCCACGCCCCCAGCAAGGCCGGGCTGCTGAGCCCTCTGCCCACAGGGCACCTGCCTGCGAGCACTAGCATGGGCCTGACTCTGGCCCACGTGACTTGCCTTCCTCTTTGATTTTACATCAAACAGCAACTCCCTCCACCAACAGCCAGGGGGGAAAAACCGTTGTTGTTAATTACAAGACACTCAGGGCCTGGCTCCTGTCTAGTAGGCACGACCACGCCCTCGAAGGGCAGGACCCCCCATTGCCCTGCGAGGGCAGACAGACACACAGTCCTTCAGCTGGAACCAATTCTCAAGTCCGCACCCGCTTGCCGAGAGAGGGCCAAGTAATTCCCTCTAAATCCCTAGTCACTTTGTTGATGCCAAGTAGCTAAGGGCTGGGTTTGGGAGAGGCAAATTGCTGCCTGACTCAGATGAGATGCCACCCCACAACTAGGAGCTCTGGGGTGGGGGTGAGGGTAGGTGTCCTCTCCGAGACTCCAGACAAGGCAAGAGCAATGGTTGCCCAGGGGGATGTCGGGGTGAGAGGCGTGCGTTGCTCTGCAAGGTCGTGTGTACCGCACACTGGCACGTCCGTGACTTGTTTCAAGTGCCTAGTGCACACTTCCAATGAACACATGAACAGTGTTTATAAATATCTAATTTTCTTATCAGTTCTTCAAATACTTATTGCAATTATGTGTGTTGAACCTCAAAATGGGTTTTGTCTATTGTCCTTTCAAACTGTTCTTAGTAATTCATTTTATTTGATAAAACTTGATATCAGTGAATGTGAGAAAGGAGGAAAAATGGCCCTCACCCCCAGCGTTTTAGAAGCAAGCCCTCGCAGCTGGGAGCCCAAGGCTGTGCGGCTGACAATGATGAAGCTCCGCGAAGTCACCTGTTGGCCTTAAGACAGTTCATTGGGGACTAGTATTTCCATGCAGAACTCAGCTCTCTGTCCTTCTAGTCCAATCTCCAACCCAGGCCCGGTGGATGCAAGTTTCTCATCTCCAATGCACAGAAAAAGAGCCAGAGTCAGAGAAAGACAACAGCTTTTATTATCTGTCATGTATTTCACAGAAAGAATGTGGCAAGTGGGTCAGGATGGAACGAAAAAAAAATGCGGGTTTGCAGATGTTGCTCTGTTCACATCGGGGAGCGGGCTCACCCTCGGGGTCACGCACAGCAGCTGTACTTGTCCGACGCCCCTTTGCAGACGCAGCCCTGGGCGCACTTGGCACAGCCGGCCGGGCAGCAGGCGCAGCAGCCTGGGGACAGCAGGGAAAGTGGGAGGTCAGAGATGACTTCAGCAGGCGCCTCCCTGCCCCACAGCAGGCCTGGCACGAGCCCTCAGCCCCAGAGGGCCCAGAGCATGCAAAAGCATTTCTGTTGTGAAACAAGTAGTAAGACCTGTGGGGGCTGGGTTTCACCATGAGAAGGCTGTCCCGACCCGTCAGAGCCCAGGACAGGGCACAGAGCCTGCAGAGGCAGTGCCAGGGTCCCAGGAGCAAAGGCAGACCAGTTCCCCCTGAGCCATCCACTCATAACCCTTGGCTCCCTCCCTTGCCTTAGCCCCGCCCCCAGGTTCCCAGTGAAGGCCCCCAACTCACTCTTCTTGCAGGGGGTGCGTTTGCAGTCTTTGCCTTTGCAGGGGCCGGCGCAGGGGCAGGGTTCACCACCTGCGAGGAGGAGAAAGCCAGGCAGTGAGATGCGTGATGCAGAAGAGACAGCAGTCAATCAACAGCTGCTCCCTGCACTTCCCTGTCAGCATCCAGCCCTGGGAGCGCCTGGCCCGCACGGGACAGGTGCAAGCACCCCCCTCCCCGCCCCCCGCCGCCCGCCCCCTTCTCTGCCCTTGTGCCTGAGGAGGGTGCAGTCCCTGTAGGTATGTGTCCTGCAGGGATGGTCCCAGGCTGCGGAACCAGTTCAGTTAAGCTGGGTCTGAGGGTCAGGGCCTTATGTCCTGAGCGCACAAGCCACACTGCTTCTGCCTCCAAGATACCGCAGGCCGCTCAGAGTCCTGGGTCCAGCAGCCTGGGACCACCTGATGATGAGGAGCAGGACAGCCTTGAGCCCCAGGCCTCTCCAACAGGAGCTGCTGGGAGGCTGGAAGTGCTCTAAATCACAGAAGGTGCTGCCTGTCTGCGGGAGTCCACCTCCTTTCAAATTCAAAACATTCCCTCCTGTCCACGCAGGGACACGCAGGGACACTGTCGTAGCGCTGGGAACGCGGCATTCTAAGTCCCAGAGCCTGGGGTCCTTATCAGTTAGGTAGGAGCAGTTGGGGTCCATTTCGATCAGACGTGAGGCAGGGGGTCCAAAGCTAGAGGAGGAGAGTCACGTGCACTAGCGCAACGCGTGGTGGCGCCCTGGAGTGTCCCCGGGTATCACTTTATAGCGAGAAAAGGCGGCTCGGGCGCAGAGACCTCTGCCGGGCTCTTGCTCCCCGCCCGGCGGAAACCGCGCGGCTCTCAGCGTCCTTGGCTGGGCTGGGCGCAGCTGGCGGGGCAGGGGCAGGGCGCACCGTTCCCTAGTGCTACTGGGCTCCGTGCGCACCGTGCGGCCGCACCATTAACGCCTGGTTAAGAGAGGGGCTTGTACGCCGTAGGAAACCCGGGGTCCAGCCTCCTGGTGTGACCCTTCCCAATTTTGCCCAGGGGGCAGTCGTCTCAGCGCTGCAGGCCCTTGGTATGGAAACCCAGTTCCTGCGACCTTGACACCTTTCTCTACACCCAGTGCCCTGTCCTCCGCTTTGCTCTTTCCAGTAGCCTGTGTGCAACACTCCCTCCCACGCATGTCCTTGACTTGGCAGGAATGGGGGAGAGACCAGAGGGTGCTGTGTGCAGAGGACCGTGTGCAATGGACCTTGGCCTCCCACCCGCGTTTCTTCTCCCTGTCCCCGACGCGTTTGTCCACATCCCTGGCAGAAAATGCTAGTGCTCCCCACAGCCTGTTGGTACTGCCCCCCCTCAATCCTGGAGGTTCCTGCAGCTTGGAAACCCCTCAAAGAGCATCCCTTTAGGTGATGGGAAGACTTGGCTTTGAAAAGCACAGCAGGGAAAGCAGTTTCACCCCCTAACGGGACTTGGCGCTTAGCAAGTGCCCAGCCAGGTTTAGTCACTTCGCGCTCTGTCCCCGGCACTGCCGCCCCACAAAGGAAATACTTCCACGTGTGAGGCCCTTTGGCTAACAGGACCACTTCAACACAAGGATTCTAAATTCCTTGCCTAAGGGGACGTCACTGGGAATCTGTATACTCAGTGGAAGCCGGTCAGGCTCCCAAGGGAAGAAGGTTCCAGAGTTGCCAGCCTGTGGCCCAGGTCTGTCAACAACACTCCTCTACCACTTGCAGCCGTTTTAATAACAGCAAGCTGCCAGCTCGACCATGGCAGCAATACAAGGGAGCCCAGTGAAATATGTACATATTTATAATAATTTCATATAAAATAATAATGTAGGTAAGGATGATAATCAGAGCGATTATGTTATAACAATAAAATTGTCTGGCTATCTCCAATGTCTTGCATAAGATAGATTCTTACTATCAGTGGTAAAATAGTTTGCTTTCCCTATAAATATCTTTAAGAAAACGGGAATCATTTCCAAGTACAAGGTGATGAAGGCGGCAGGGGAAAATGGCAGGTTTCTTTGCATTGCTGAGAAGACACAGGGCACCTTCCTCATGACCGGATGTTTTTCATGCCGGTGACAGTTTGGTGGGCGAGTGAAGGGCTCTGTCTTGTCTGCGGGCCGCACCTTCATGGGGCTGACGAGGACAACCCAGGACACACCAGCCCGGACTTACTTGCCAAGAGGTAAGCACCCTTTCCCGGGCCAGGTCGAAGCAGCGTAAAGAAACGGGTGGGGCTGTCGACCATGCACCATGTGCCAGAACCCACAGCAGCTTCTGCCCATGTACGAGTTCACTCACTCTTATGACCCACATGGCTTCATTTGCCCCTTTGCAGTGGAGGAGACTGAGCCACATAGAGGGTGTGCCCCATGGCTCTAAGTGACACAGTTGGGGCATGCACTCATGCAGGCTCACTGCAGCATTGTGCCCTCAGCCACCGCCCTCCACTCCGACCGCCCATGGAGGAAGGTGCTAGAACCTGGCTCGGAGGCCTTAGTGGTGAGAACACGCGCGCTGGCAGTCTGCGTAGCTCTGCGGGCTCTCTGGGCTTCAGGTTCCTGTCTCTCCAGCCAGGGGCACAATTGAACATCCCTTCTGGTCGTCATTGTGAGATGCAGCATTTAGCATCCAGTGACACCCTGATCAGCTAGCAGTGGCCCGGGGGTGAAGCCACCTGCAGGACAGGTTCAGACCTGTGACGTCTGGCCTGTGGTCACTTCAGCCCTTGCATTTTCTCTGTCTTCCTGGCTCCTGTGAGGCTGAAATGACACGAAGGGTGGGAGAGACTTTTGTGTCTATCTAAACGCTGTGGCAGTGCCTTGTCCCAGGAGGCTTATTACAGGAGGTCATCTACAGCCTGGCACCAGGTCAGCAAATTCTTAATCCCACCCTTAATGACCAACCCAGAGTGATGCTTCTAAACCAAGGAGCTAGAAGGGATTCTCTTCCCCCAAATGTCCTTGTGGACACAGTGGCCCTGAAGGTCGCTGTTTATTAAGCCTTAGCCTGGAGCCAGGACGCTATCATTTATTCTTTACTTAGAGAAACAATCTCCCCCTATAAATGGGGAAGCGGGGGCTCAGAGAGTTCCAGCAACTTGTCCAGGACTTACCACTTGGGGCTGCGAGCCAGGATGCATGGCACCAAAACCCATGCCCTGGGCACAGGCTGGCTTCTGTGACCCCCTCTCCACTCAGAACCCTGTGGGCAAGCGTGGTCCTGACTCCTGGTCCCCATGACTTGTCTTTCTCTTTGATTTTACATCAAACAGCAACTCCCTCCACAAATGGCCACAGGGGTGGGGGGTGGCGACAAACCATTGTCATTAATTACAGGCCACTCCGTCCTAAAACTGCAGAGCCCCAGATCACCATGCAAGTCCTTCATCCGGAACCAAGTTCCAGGCACACTGCCATTTGCCGAGAAAAACTGGGGCAATTTCCTCCAAAGCTGTAGGAATTTTGCTGCTTTCAAATAGCCAAGAGCTGGAGTTTGGAGGAGGGCCTGAATTTCAGCCTTGGGGGGAGCTTGGGAAGGTTCAGAGCCAAGTTCAAATAGCAAGCTCTGGGGGGGGGGGGGGATGGGTAGCAGGTGTTCTGTCAGTGACACTGGGCAGGCCAAGAGTCCTGGTCCCCTGTGGGGACATCAAGGGCAGTGCTGCCCCAGGTGTCTGTGGTCCACACAGTGGGGGACGTTTAAGAATTGTTTCCAGGGCTCACTGCACACTTCTGATGAGCCACATGCTGCGTTTTAAAAGCTTGCATATTATCATTTTTCTTTATATATTGAAATTGTGTGTTGAATCTAAAAATGGGGGCTCTGCACTGTTCTTTTTATGTCATTTCATAGTAATTATTATTTTCCAAGATTTAGGTTGGGGAAAGATGAGGGGGTGCTTATCCTTCACTACAAAGATTTATAAGCCCATGTTGGAGTCAAGCAAGTGAGAAGTTGTTTTCTACTCTTTTGTTACTTTCAAGCCTTAAATCCAGTGAGGGACTGAAGCTGGGCAGGGAAACCATGAGAATCTGGGATTGAGAAGTTTGTGTCCTATCCCTGTTGACATGGCAGCAGAGGGGACCCTGCAGCTACCCAGCGCCCTGAGAGCCTCTTACTGAGGTACCTGGCTTGGCTTAAGGCTATTAGGGAACAACAACACTTCAGTCCAGAACCCAAACCTCTGTACTTCCCACCAACCCCCCACGCCAGTCCCGGTGGGCACCCAAGGAGGACAGAGTCAGAATAAAGCCAACAACTTTTATTATCATTCATGTTCTTCATAGAAAAACAAAGGGAACACAACAAACGGGTCAGAGTTGTACCAAAAAAAAAAAAAAAATGCAGGGTTTGTACACGTTGTTCTATTTACATCGGGGAGCAGGCTCTCCGCCGCATCAGGCACAGCAGCTGCACTTGTCGGACGCCCCTTTGCAGATGCAGCCCTGGGCGCACTTGGCACAGCCGGCCGGGCAGCAGGCACAGCAGCCTGGGGACAGGGAGGTGGCAGAGATGAGCACGTGGGATAAAAGATCAGTAAGAAACCCCGTCCTGCCCGGCTGGGGCCACGGTGGAGGTGCCACCCTCCCTACCGGGCGTCAACCGCCCTTTTTAAACTCCCCTCGGAGTGGAATAGAGGGTGTGGGGGGCATGTAAGGAGTAGAAAAGGGGACTCCACTCACTCTTCTTGCAGGAGGTGCATTTGCAGTCTTTGCATTTGCAGGAGCCGGCGCAGGTGCAGGAGCCACCTGTGAGGAGAGAGGCACGTGAGAATGGTCCCCGGGGACTTTACCCAGTGAACGGGTGCCAGGAGCCCAGATCTACAACCATCCCGGCTGCACAGCCAACTCCCAGTAAAACGGGGGCCAGCAGAGACACGTAGACCAAACGCTACAGAAGGGGATTAGAGCCTTGAAACCCAGTCATTAGAAAAAGCAAGAGGGGTCGCAAATTGCTTGTCTAGTTCCACGGCAAATACCCCCGGCGTCCCCAGCTGCGGACCAGGTCCCCTCTTACCGGTGGCACAGGAGCAGTTGGGATCCATGACGAGCTGAAGCGGTGGCTGGAGTCCAAGAACAGCTGCAAAACGGATCGCTAGGACTTCGAGGAGGTGTGCTGGAGCGGAGCGCCCGGTGGACTTCCTTTATAGCGCGAAGGAGCTGGGGCGAGTGCAAAAGCCCGCCCGGGCCGGGCGCCGCCTGCACACGCCCCGCGCTGAGTCACTGGCGGCGGCGGGGCGCACTGGGCGAGCGCCTGGCCGAGTGCACAGGGCTGTGCGCACGGACCTCCGGGCTGCTGTTCCTAGAAGCCGTTCTGCGTGCCGTGCCGGCTACTCCTGCGCGGGAGGGACCGGGTGCAGAGCGGTGACGAGGCACGCCAGCAGCCCGGGCCCTGCGCCGAGCACTCTGCCTCGGCCCTCCCGCTGTGACCTCGGGCCCACCTCGTGCTGCGCCCCGGCCTCCAGCCCCCTACGCCGGCTACTTGAACCCCAGCGGTTAGAAAGCGCGTGTGAAAGCTGGCCTTGGGGATCCAGCTCAGACAAATAATCCTTTGGAAGTGAGGACAGATTTCAAAAAACTTTTTGTACCTGTCAAGGCTTAGTAACTGTATAGCAACATATTAAACCCCGGGGAAGGTTATTGGTGACAGACCTTATCCATTGTGTATACAGTGCTCGACATGCAATGTCAAGGGTAGTAATCCAGTTATGTGTGAGCTCTCACTTAATCCTCTATCAACCCTGTGAGGTAAGGACTATCAGTGATTCTTATTTTTAAAGATGAGAAAACAAAGGTTCGGTAACTTGTCCATTGTCACCGAGTTAGGAAGTGGCAGAATCTGGTGAAGGCCATCTAAGGGTATACCTCACCCACGGACATGAGAGAATAAACATCAAGAAGCCACAAGCTTTGTGCTCTGGAAACTCATGGTCATGGGGGCAGAGTCGCAAGAGCCAGAGGAAAAGTGAAACCAGGGTCAAGGCTAGCCGGGAGGACACCCTTGGAGCTGGGAGGACAGAGAGGAGGAGGCCCAGTCCAGCTAGGAGGAAGTGGGCCCTGAGCAGGGAGGGTGAGAAGGTCTTGCCAGGCAGCAGAGGAAAAGGAGCAGAGGAAGCGGCCGGCTGGAGAGCTGGCATCGTCCCTGACCACCCGGGAGGGGAACCCCCACGAGAACTTTCTTCCCCAGTGGATGCTAAGAGAAAGAGAGGCCATGTGGGCCCGGATTCCTCTCTGGGTCATGAGCCTCGGATGCCCGGAGTGTGTCATCAGAGCAGGGGAGGGGTTCCTGGAAAGTTCCTGGCAGGCTTGGACAGTGCTGGTTGCTATGGCGGGAAGCTGAGTGAGGAGGCGGCGGGAACGGGCTGTCCTCGCAGCCTTTACTGTAAGGTGGTGTGGCAACGTCTTGACAGCTCAGCTGAAACGTCAAGTCCTCTGGGGAATTTGTCCTGACCCCCATGCTCCCTCACGGTGCCCACGGAACATGCTGGGAAAAACCCTGTTCTTTTCCTTTCTGGAACTTTCCATGTCTGTAATAGGTAGGACCTTGGGTGATTCTTGGATTGCTGTCTGTGTCCTTCCTTCCTTGGCCCAGCGTGCCGCTGAAAACGCCAAGAGCCGTTGTTGTCCCTGAAATGTGCCTCCAGCCCCAGGGCACAAGGTGCGTTTGTAGTAAGCGTTCCATGAACATTTGTCAAGTAAATTATTGGTGGTGATCCCCTCGATGGCCCCTCTCTTCCCAGCCTCCACCTTGTGTTAGGGCCGATTGCAAAATGAAAGTAAAACATGCCTTTCTCCCCTCTGGGGCCTGTGTGCTAACTTAAATAAAAACACAAAGCAGGGAGGATTGGACTGTTAGAAGGACTACATTCTAGCGGTCACTCTGCTGAGTGACTTGGGGCCAGTTATATGCCAGGGTCCCTCTGAACCTCAGGATACTTGTCTGTGAAATGATCAGATTGCATTAGGATTTGGGGCTCCCATGCAAATACTCTCTGATTTTCGAGCAAGGTTCTGGCATGTTCACTGTGTCTGGCAGCGCTGTGAACTGAGAGCTTTGAAGGGCTGGTCTTCGGCAGTGGGCCAGTTGTGTTGTTGATACTTACATGTGCACACTCATATATGCAAAACTGCTGCTTTCTAATAAACCAGGGGCACATCGTCCACTCAGTGGAAACAATCCAACTCTGCAAAGAGACAACTGGGCCTGTGTTCCGCCCTGAAAGTATTAAATCAAGCCCTGGGTTTAGGCTATATGCATGGGGAGTAAAGCCAGGTTCCAGTCTCAGTTGTCTCCCTTGAATCGCCTTGACGCTGCCAGGAGAAGGGTGACCAATCAGCAAAGGCGAAGGCGGGGCTGGGCCTAGTCTTGCTCATCTCCATACCCCTGAAAGCCTCCCCGGGCTTGGGACAGACATGGAGAGGGAGGACTTCCTAACGTCTGCCCCTCAGCGTGGTAGCAGGCGAGGGAGATGAAGCCAGGCTGCTTTAGGCGTGGAAAAACATCCCCCCTGCAAGTCTGATGTGGTTCTTCGGGGTGAAGCAGTGCTGTGCTCCCAGCCTGCATCAGCAGGGGTATGCCCTCTAGAATCAAGGAGGTGACTTTTCACTCTCTTTTTAACTGCTGACGTGGGTGTTCATAGTTCTGCGACCCAGCCGTTCACTCCTTCTTCCCCTGTGGCAGGAGCTTTAGTTTTCTTTGGAAGAATCACTCTTCTCCATTCTTAGCTCATGTGCTTTGGCAGGAGCAGGCCCCATCTGTGGACTCCCAGGCCTTTCTGCCACCTTGGCTGTAGTGATAGTCTGATGGAGTTGCTTAGCCCCGAACCAAAGAGAATCAGTGAAACTTTTGCGGGGAATCCTGGAAAATGGCAGTTACGCTTACCATCTGGAAGAACCTGAGAGGGTGTGAAGCTGAGTTTCCGAAGCCTCTTGTCTCTATGAGAAAAGCCTGAGAATAAAGTCATCATGAAGGAAATGGGGTCTGGCAACAGCACTGGAGCCCATGAACCCCCTGGATCCAGCCATGCCTGAAGGCATTGTGAGTCCATCGTTTCCTCTCCTGTTAAATCAGTTCTACGCAGAGTCCTAATGGGCACCACTGGGCAGGCCATCCTGGGGACTATGTTCATGACTGGGCTTCCGCTGTCCAGAAGACTGTTGATCACAATAGTCCTAAGACTCAAAGCCCATCATGTGAGCAAGAGCCAAGAGGGGTGGGCAGGTTCGACCCGGAAGGAAACAGTCACCATCAAATAACTATGGTTGTTCTGATTATCTGTAGCTATGCAACAAATTACCGCAAACATAGCAGCTTAAAACAACCACCATTTTATTGTCTCTCTTAGTTTTGTGCGTCAGGAATTCTGACAGGGCTCATTTAGGTCATCCTTTTGTTTTTTATGTCATTGACTGAGGTCACTTGGTGGCATTCAGCTGCTGGATGGGCTGGTCTGGGAGAGCAAAGACAGCTTCCCTCTACACCCGGCAGGGACGGCTGGTGGGCAGAGCTCAGCTGGGACTGCTGACCAGGACTCCCACATGTGGCCCCCCCAGCGCGGCGGCCTCAGGGCCATCAGCTCTTTACGTGCAGCTTGGGGCCTCAAAGGCGAGAGCCCCAAGACACAGGAGTGGTAGCTGGGAGTCTCTGGAGTCCTGGGCCCTGACACTAGCACTGGTCACTTTCAGGACAGTCCGTGTGTCAAGAAGTCCCAGAGCCTTCCCAGGTTCAAGGGGAAAGAATGAAGGCACCACGTCTGGACGGAAGGAGTGGACGAATTTGCTGCCATCTCTAAGCTGCAACAGCAGACACAGGGAATAACACGAGCTCCTACTACGCACCTTCGGAGTGTATTCTACTTAGACACCCACATGGCCCTCCAGGCAGGTGCTGTTACCACCTCCGTTTTACAGGTGAGGCACTGAAGAGTCACATGGCCTGCTCAGGGTCACACAGCTGCGAGTGGCAGCTTTGAGACTTGAACCCAGGACTCTCTGATTCCACACGCACATGTTCATGCCACGTTGAAAAGAGGAAATTAGGTTTGTACTCTGGGGTCCCAAGGACAGAACCAGGGCAGTGGGTGGGGGCTACAGCGATAAAGGTTTTGCCCTGGGTTGGAAAGACCTTTCTTGCGATTAGAGCTGGTCATCCCCGGAAGGGATCAACCGCTTTGAGAAAGAATCTCCTGTCACCAAAGCAATAGAAACAGAGGTGGTGACTTCCAGGATTAGAAATGTAACGGGAACAGAAAGTGGTCAGATCCTTTCTTCCCCAGGGGCTAGTGTGATTCTGTGGTCCTCCCACAGGTACCCTCTGTCTGATCTCAGTTCTTCTTCCTCCTACTGACCCTGCCTTCATTCAGGGGGCGTATTAGTTATGTCTTGCTATGTCACAAACTACCCCCAAACCAAGCAGGTCAAGACAACACTCACGTATTATCTCCTAGTTCCTGCGAGTCAGGAATCCAGCTGGGGCTTGGCAGGGCCCTCGGGCCCCCAGACACAAGCCAAGTGTCAGTCAGTCATCTCAAGAGTGACCTGGGACGGGGTCTGCTTCCAAGCCCCCTTGTGTGGTTGTGGGCAGGATTTGGGTCCTCGCGGGCTCTTGTACCGTGGCCTGGGTTCCTCACAGACGGTTGGCCAGAGGCTGCCCCGGGCTCCTTGCCACGTGGGCCTCTGTGGACAGCATCTCACAGCATGACGGCGAGCGGGCAAGGGGCCAGAGAGAGGGCCAGCCGCGGGCAAGCGAGACAGCGCGGTCTTCCGTTCATAACCAGCCACAGAAGTGGCGTCCCATCACTTACTCTGTTCGGTAGAAGGTCACGAGGTCCAGGCCACACTCTAGGGGAAGGGATCGCACAGGACATGGGTAGCGCAGGCTGGGATCTCTCAGGGCCACCTTAAGTCTCCTTACATGGGCGAAGGCAATGGTATGTTGTCTGACTTCAGGCTCTTTGCCTCGATCCTTCTCTCTCCTTTGTCTGTTGGTTCTCAGTTTAAAGGCCATTTCCATAGAAAAGGCTTCCTGGACCCCAGAATAGGCTGCACCCTACTGTTGCCAGCAAATGCACCCCTTCTCTGGAGCCTTTCTGGCAATGACAGCTACTAGCACTTAAGCAGCTCCTACTGACAAAGCCCACGTCCTACGCCGGGGTCTCCGGATGCCCTTACACGTGTGAATTCACTTGATCCTTCCGACCGCCTTTGAGGGCTGTTCTTATTTACATGTTACAGAGGGGAAACTGAGGCTCAGAGAAGGTCCAGAATACCGCTCCAAGCCGCATGCCAGGAAGGGGCCAAACCAGGCAGCCTGGCTCCAGAGCCCGTGCACTTAGCCAGTCTGCCGCACAGCCCCTCAGGGCAGCTTGTGGTGTTGTGTGTAGCTTTTTGTTTCATCTTCGACTCTCCCCCAGGCTGTGGGCTGTGGCTGCTGTGTTCTCCATCCAAGCTCTGGCGCCTGGCGCAGTGCCCAGCTCGTGGGGGCTGCTTAATAATGCAGAGGAATGAGAGAACAGAACCCGGCCAGCAGTGGTAAGCAGGCCCCTGGAAGGGTCGGCCCTTGAGGAGAGCCAGCCTGGAGAGCCTGTGTTCAGGCGGAAGCCAAACCCCCTCTGGTATCAGCCCTCCTCATGCACCGGACCTCGACTTCCCTTTTCTGTCCCCAAGCACGCCCGCCCGCCCGCCCGAGGATCAGCGCACCCCACAGCCCTCTCCAGATACACTCGCCACTCCGCGCACCAGGTGTGTGCTCCCTCCCGCCGGCCCCCAAAGCCCATTCCATGATCGATGCTCTGTAGCAGACCTCGATAACCTGAGAGAGAAACATCGATCGGAGAGAAACATCAACCAGTTGCCTCTCTCACACCCCCAACCAGGGACGTGGCCGAGACCCAGGCGTGTGCCCTGACCATCCTGGGCACATTCAACCGGCGACCTCTCAGTTTGCAGAAGGATGCCCAGCCCTCTGGGCCACGCCAGTCAGGGCTCTGTGTCTCATTTAAAAGAATAATCTCCAAGCCCTGGCTGGGTGTCTAAGTTGTCTGCAGTGTCGCCTTGACATGCCAAGGTTGTGGGTTCAGTCCCTGGCCAGGGCACATGCAAAACTCAACCATTGGCCTTGGCTGGTGTGGCTCAGTGGATTGAGTGCTGGCCTGTGAATTAGAGTCACCAGCTGGGTTCCCAGTCAGGGCACAGGCCTGGGTTGCAGGCCAGGTCCGCAGTAGGGGGTGCTCGAGAGGCAACCATACACTGATGTTTCTCTCCCTCTCATTCTTCCTCCCTTCCCCTCTCTAAAATTAAATAAATAAAATCTTTTTAAAAATACAATAAAAAAAGAATCAATGAATGCATAAATAGTGGAACAAATCGATGTTTCTCTTTCTCTGCCTCTCTGAAATCCATCAATAATAAAGTAAATTAAATAAAAGAATCATCTCCCCTCCAAAGTAACAAACATTTCATTTTCCTCTTCCAAATTCTTCTATAGCTTTGATTTTTGCTTTTTTCATATGTTATGCAAAAGGCTAGCCAATTGTCCCAACACTTTCCCTCATTAGTGGATACTTTTGACACTGACTTGATTATCTGCTTCTTCCAGATACGCGGGGATCTTTTTTTGTTTTTTTCCTCTTTATTGAATTTATTGGGGTGACACCGGTTAACCAAAGTCTACAACACAGCACCCTCACACTGCACTGTGTGTTCGCCACCCCAAGTCAAGTCTCCGTCCATTGGTCCATTACCATGTTTCCCCCCTACACCCTGCTCCTCCTCCCTTTGGACTCTCTCTGCCCGGCTGATCTATTCCTGGGCTGACACCACTTCCTGGGGCTTTAGAACAAGCAGTGCTAGCAAGTTAGAGCAAGCCTTGTTTGTTGTTTCTTTACAAAACTGGCCTGGCTCTTCTTGCACTGTTTTTTGAAACTCAACCTATTAGGTTAAATAAAAAACCAAAAAAACAAAACACCAAATCCCGGGGGGCTTCTGAATAGACCATTCTGAAAAACTAACTTGGAGGAAAACTGACGCGTTTACACCATTGTGTCTTCCTACTTGGAAACCTTTCTCTCCCGGATTCTATTCCTCCCTTCCCAGGCAACCCAGGTGGAGCTGGGTGCTCCCTTCCAAGAGACCTGGACCACAACCACTGGGGATAAAAGCTCACATTATCCTACTTCCCCGTGAAGGAGAAAAGGAACTGAGACCAACTGCCTGATGACGTTTGAAAAGGAGCTGAACGCTCGGTTTTGGGGACATAAGGTATTCAGGGCTGTGACCTTGGAAACGCAGCTGACAGTTTGCCAAGAGAGGCCGTAGGCCCCCCTGGACTCCTTTCTCACGGCTCTGAAGACAGGCAGCTTTGTAGGAGCAACTAGAAAATTCCAGAAACTATCGGCCTTTGGGGCTGGGGGTTGGTTTTAACTTCTCCCAGCCCCACTGTACAAAGAAAGGCTGAGAGAGGGGAAAAAGAGACAAACTGATAGGGATCTGGTCTCCCCGTTCTCTAGACTCGATCTTGACTTAGTGGGAAGATCAAGGCCCATCTGAAGGTGGGGAGGTTGTGCTCCGCATCTGTCTCAGCCCACACTGACCCGCAGCCAAGTCTTAGGGTTTCAACTGAGGCAGTTCCCTAAGGTTAGGCTCCCTGCTACTGCCACCTCCTTCCCCTTTAAGAAGAGACCAGCCCTCAGCTTATTGCATTCATAGGATTTATTGTCACTTGCCAGCAGCTAGCAGGGGTGGGGGATACAGAGCCGAGGCTCCTCCGCACAGGGAGAGGGGGCACTCGGCCACCCAGCACTGTTTACACCTGATTCCCGGAGGGGAGGGGCGGCTGGTTCTGTTTCATTCGCTGCAGCTGCACTTCTGAGCCTCAGCCTCCGCCCCCTCTCCGCCTTTGCACACACAGTCCTTGGCGCATTTCTCGCACTCTGCGGGGCAGCAGGAGCAGCAGCCTGCAGATAAAACAGGGGGCACCCAGTTGGATGGCCTCCCTCCACATCTGTTCCCAAAAAAGGGGAGCGGGGCAAAGGCGGGGTGCCAGGAGGCTGGCCGTTGTCCCCTTCCTCGTCCCACACCTGGCTTGACTCAGCATCTATGGCGAGTCTGCTGCCTGCAGGAGAGAGGAACCCAGTAACTACCACCCGCACCCCCAACCCTTAGGTGAGGCTGGAAAGCAAGAAGCTGGGAAAAGGCCCTGGCGCAAGTGGAATGGGGAAACTCAGGCAGAGAGCTGAACAAACTGGCTGAGCATCTTACAGCGGACACAGAGGTCAGCAGGGCGGAGAGCCCCGGGGCCGCAACTGGGCAACTGGCGCCAGGCCTCACCCCCAGGGCGGCCTTTCCTCCCCTGGCGTCTCCCTGGTCAGGCAGTTAGGGCCCTCTCCTCCCTGGAGATGACATCATCCATCAGCTCCTGGCCCAGAAAATCAGCAAAACCAGGTGGAGGACAGCGGGACCAGCAACAATGGCTAATGACTCCCTACCCGGGTGCTGACCAATCGGTGGAGACCAGGACTCTGGAAGGGACACTCCCGGAGAACTGGTGAATTTCCTACTGAGATCCACCCCTGAGACCTCCCTTTAAATGCCCACCTTTGCAAAGCAGATAAAACCCCTCAAGACAAAGAAGCCAGCGTGCCTGTCTTGGGGCACACGCACTCGAATCTCTTTTTCAAGGGAATTTTCTTTCTCCTAAACTCTAAGGGTCCTCATGAGACTTGCAACCCAGGGAGCAATGAGCAGCTCAGCTCACACCGAGCTCACCCCCTGAACCTGTCTCCAGGCCCCCTTTTCCCCGACTTTCCAGTGAGCTGACTTCTTTCCCATAACCCCTCGGGAGAGCCGAAGCAGCCACAGCCAGGCGGTCTCCTGTTGCTTCTTCTATCCCAGGCCCTTCCTTGTTCTGTCCCCAGCTTTAATAAACACACTCTTAACATCACCTGGACTTGTGCTGTGAAATCTTTCTGGCACAAAGGCCTGCATGCTGCAGGCTGGCCCTGGGCAGACCTGCCCCAGCCCTGTCCCCTTTCTGGTAACGCAGTGGAGTCTGGGATGGTGGGGTCAGGCCCCGGCTGGGGGAGTGCCGGGCCTTAAGGAGACAGCATCACAGGGTAAAGGGCCTTGGTAAGAGCCTTGAAGGATAAACTTGAAGGAGAGAGAAGATCCAGGTGTGGGGGGTCCAGGAGACCCACGAGGTGGTCCACCCCTAGCCTTACACAGCAAAGAAAAACAGGCCCTTCCCCACCCACCTACTCGCGCATCTCGCTGGCGGCTTTCGCTTCTAGGGAGACCTAGGGGAGGTCAAATTGAGGGAATCCACAAAGGCCTCAGAGGGGCCAAGGGATCGGAACTCCAGAGCCAACGCCCAGCCTCACTAATGGCTCCCCCATGCACTGGAGGTTTGAAGGGGAGGCGCTGGGCCAGGGTAACAGTACTCGGTCCCAGCTGCCCATTAGCATCTTTGGGGAATTTCCAAAACATCTTGCCCCAGGCATTCTGGATCAATCGCTGGAGGTGGAGCCAGGGTGATTGCATCCCAAGGCTTCCCCAGGTGCTTCCCGTCCCAGAAAAAGGTGGAAACAATATAATAGGAATTCGGGGCTGGGGTGGGGTCTCTCCACATTGCGTGGGCAGACTTGGGGAGGACAGGGACATGCGCAGAGGGGGACCCCACTCACTCTTCTTGCAGGAGGTGCACTTGCATCCCTCACACTTGCAGGAGCCGGCGCAGTTGCAGGAACCACCTAGAAAGGGAGAAGCCACAGGAATGGCTCAAGTGAAAAACTCGCGTGGGGCCAGGCCTAAAGGGATCTCAGTGCCCTTTGGGATATAGCCACGCCCACCCTTCACGAGGTTCAAAATGGGAAATAAGGGTCCCTTCCCCCAAATGTCCTTGACGGAAGCCGTAAGGCACGGGATGCCTTGCAAGTGAGGGGCGCGCTGTGTCTCAGCATGGGGTTTGGTAGGGGGGCTCACCAGTAGGACAGGGGCAGGTCTCAGGGTCCATGTCGAGCGGAGATGCCGCTGGAGAGGGTGAACTGGCTTCTCCCGGCAACTGGATGCTCTGACGGCAGCAGGTGATGAATTTTTTATAGCCCCAGGCGGTGGCGCGCATGCACGGCTGGCTGCGCGCTCGGTGCCCGGTCTCCTCCTGGGCTCAAGGCCCGGCGGAAGCGCGCATTGCGGCAGCGGTGCCCCCTCCCCCGCCGGGCCCCCCAACTCCCCGCCCTTCCTGCAGCCACCCCGCGTCCCACTGTGTGCATTGGGGAAGACACTCTCCGCTTGGGTGGACGCCGCCGTGTGCGCGGCTGGGGACGCGTCCTTGAGGTTGACGCTTCAGATCTGGGAGAGCAATCCCCGCTCCTCACATCCCCGCAACCCCACCGTGATGGGTAGTTTTATATGTCAACTTGACTGGGCTAAGGGATGCCCAGATAGGTGGTAAAACATTATTTCTGAATGTGCCTGTGAGGGTGGTTCCAGAAGAGATTAGCATTTGAATTGCTGGACTAAGTAAAGGTTGCTCTCACCAAGGTGAGCGACATCAGCCAATCTGTTGAGGGTCTGAAAGGCAGAGGAAGGGCGAGTTTAACCTCTGCCTGAGCCGAGACACACGTTCTCTGCCGGGGGGTGGGGGACTAGGGGGTGGTGAGGGGGGTGTCGCTGGGACAGGGGCGGGCCCCTGGCGGTCAGGTTTCAAGCTCCCGCTGAATCACACCGCCCGCCTGGTCTCCTGATTCTCCAGCTTGCGGATGGCAGGCAGACTGCGGGCCTTCTCAGCCTCCATAGTCATGTGATCCACACTCTAATATATAACATATGCACACACACACACACATACACACACACAAACAGGGTGCAGCAAAAGTAGGTTTACAGTTGTGAGCATGCAAGTTTATTCTGGTATTATTAGTTATTAATTACTGCATTATTTTTTCATAAAATCCATATGTATCCTGGTTCTGTTTCTCTGGAGAACCCTAATACACCCCCACACCCTAGAGCAGCAGGATTTTGCGGGGTCTGAAAACCACAACGTCCTTCTGAAATACCCTCCCCCATTCCTTGCCTGGCCAGGCCCCCCATCCTTCAGTTCTCAGCTTCCAGGACCCCCGAAGGGCATTTCACACAGGCATATTGCTCCAGAGGGCCCCCCCACCTCCACCGTTATTCCCCTCTGCCTCTTGTTAACCTAAAATAATTTTATGTTCCCTTTGCCTGTGGATCTCTTCCCACAGATACCCACACAGCTCACTCCCTTCTCTCTTTGCTTCTACGTCTTTGCTCAAATCCTATTGTCTCCATGAAGCCCACCATGATCACCCTGTTTAAAATTGCAACATGCATCTCAAAACCCCAGGACCCTGACACCCATACTTTGCTCTCTTTTCTTTTTTCATGGCATAAAACACCTTCTGATGAACCGAGTTCTTTATCTGTAAAGCTTATGTGCTGTCTTTCCTGCTAGAATTTAAGCACCAGCACCAGATCTAATAAGGAATCTTTACTTTTGTTCACTGACACACCTGAAGCTCCTAGAATGGTGTTCTGAACACAAAAGACATTCAGGCCACATTTACCAAAGGAATGAATGGCTCTCAAGACAAGTGGGCTGTGCATATATAATCCTTTCAAATATAAAAAGAGAAGCCTACAGTATACACTGACTTATTAATGACTTTTTCCCACATATTATCAGTAGATTATAAATATCTGTCCCTGAAATCAGCTTCATTTCTACAATTTTATTTTAGTAGATTCACTTTACACTCTAGTTAACCAATCCCCTACTTTAAGACCTTTTTGTAGCTTCCAAATTCCCACTATTATAACCCGTGCCATGATAAACACCTTGGTGGCTTTTGTGTGTGTCCATTCATGATTTTTTCCTTAGTAGAAAACATTCTTTACAGTAGAATTTATGGCTCAAAATGTACATATATTTATTCTACAAACAGTATTTTTAAATAAAGATTAATACATTTTGAGAAATCCAGAAAAGTAGCAAGAAGGAAAATTATGATTTGAACACAACCACTGTTAACGTATTTATTAAATGTGAAATACAATGTTAAAAATAACATTTTTTGTTATTTTGCTCCTTTTTTGAAAAAAATTATTGCATAACTAATTTGTAGCCTCTAATTGGTTTCAGATTTTACCGTCACCATTTCCTGTGCATTTTTAGGGGCTGTGTCATGTCCTATCACGTACATGGGCCACAGCTTACTTGAAAAATCTTGTAGACTTGGACTTGAGGTTGTTTCTAGTGTTTCACAATTATAAATAATACTGCACTGAGCCTTTTTATGAGTGAGTGAGGCTCCCCCCACCCCTTGAATTTGTGGCGAATTCCGTAGGATTTCCAGAAGTGAAGCTGTTGTGTCAAACAGGAAAAACGTTTTTAGAGTTCATTGATGTGCATTGCCAAATTATTTTAAAAGCCTTATGCGCTGTGAATCTGGGTGGATTACACATTGTTAAGGCCTTTTACACCTATGGCTTAATTGGCTCTTGGAGAGCTTGTCCTGATTTATCCTCCCAACATTGGTGTTGGAGGGGTCTAAGCCCCTTCTGGGATGTCTGGGCCCCAAATAAAGCCAAACTGAAGCAGGAACAGCCCTCTTAAGGCTTGCACAATTCCCAAGGGCTCAGAGCCCTACTGCCTTAGCTGCCTCCCGGCCTGGAGCGCCCCCTGCAGTTTGCATGAGGAACTTCCTTCCTGTCCTGAGACCTGGGCTCCATTCCTTTCCCACCAAACCCTCCTCTGGTCTCCATCCAAGCTGGAATGTGTCCTGAGATATAGGGTCTACCACAGCCTGTTCGAGGTTTCCATTGTCTTCCTTCAGCAACACAGGAACACAGTCTATGATGTGTCAGCCTTCCTTTGTGTTTCCTCTGCCTAAGTTTTACCTCTTCAAGATCACGTGTAACCCAGTCTGCTTCCTTTTCACTTCAGCGACAGGTACTCGCCCCCACCCAATCTTCCCACATGGCCTTCAAGCTCTGTTCTCAGCTGGCCCTGCCTGAGGCGGGGTCTTCTGTGAGTCTCATATGAGTTTCCTCACATGGAGAATGGCGATAATAATCCCCATCCTGCAGGGTGGTTACAAAGAGGAGCAATTATATCAATAAAAAGCCTCGCCCAGACTTTAGCTGAAGATGGTAGACCGAATCCTGCATTTACCACTCCTTCTTCCTGAAACTCTGTCAAAAGAAACTTTTAAAAGACAAGGAGAGAAAAAAAAGAAAAACTAATAAAAGAGCTGAGGACTGGAGTCTGTGGAGGAGAGGCTTGGCTGCCTGACCCTTGTGGGACCCTTATGCTAGATCCACTTATATTTGGGCAGAACAAAGATTGCTTCTGGTAAGCCCCACCGAGCCCACCCGGTGCCCCAGGCATGCAGCTTCCGGGGACAGGCCTGCGCCCTTCCTCAGGCAAACATGTAAGCCTGTTCCCCATGATCTGGTACCCCTATCCCTTCTGCCCTGTCCTATATGTCCCCTTAGTGCCTGCCACATGGTGCAGAGAACATCCATGTCATCTTGCTCTTCCCCAGATAAGCCTCGTATGTATATAAGCTTCCTTAAAAAACTCTTAATGTAATGATGGAGCTGTTAGGCTCTTTCTTCGGTCTCTCAGCCCAAGAAATTTTACATAAGAGTGTGAGAGAGGATAATTTGGACAAGTATAATGTTTTTCTGGAACACCAGAATGGGTCAAATTACATTTATGGGTAAATGGGAGCAGAGAAAGCCACAGCTCAGCTCAAGAAGTAGAGAGAAGACAATGGGGGATTTTGTTTTATGTTAGTTGAGGGAGTCAGGCTGGGGGAGCAGAAGATGAAGGAGCTGCAGAAACCAGGGTGGTGGCTAATGGAAGAGGTGGCTGTGGACCTGCCAGGTGGTCCCTGGGGCAGCCTCCTGCACCTTTACCTGCACCTCTATCTGCACAGCTCCGCCACTTGCCCCCTGCCTGAGACTGCGAGATGCTCTCCAAAGAAAGGGAGTAGCCCGTCTTGGAGGGGCCCGGGTTAGAGAAGGGGAGGGTTAGAGAAGGACCAGCTCCTCTCTGGGCGTGCGAAAACCAAGCCGCCAGTCCACAAGTCCCACTCACATCCACAGAGCCTGTCTTCAGCTCCAAGAGGCAGAAATAGTTCAAGAAAGAGTGAACTTAACAATAAAAATTAAAAAATCTTTAACTCTTCCGAGAGATTTGGGAAATTACTCTATTCAAAAAATTAAAACAGCCCTGGCTGGTGTGGCTCAGTTGGTAGAAGTGTCACCCTGTAAACCAAAGGGTCAAGGGTTCGATTCCCAGTCGGGGCATATGCCTGGGTTGCAGGTTTGGTCCCCTGATGGGGCTTGTGCAAGAGGTGACTGATCGATGTTTCTCTCCCTTTCTCTCTCCCTCCCTTCTCCCTCTTCTCTCTCTCTCTCTCTAAAAATAAATAAATAAATAAAATCTATGACATGTTCTTGGGTGAGGATTAATATAACTATAATAATAATAAAAATAAGCCCTCAGCTGTTGGAGCACCATCTCAATACCCCAAGGTTGTGACTTTGATCCCCAGTCAAGGCAAATACAAGAATCAACCAATGAATGCATTAGTCAGTGGAGTAGTGAGAGCTCTAATTTGTACATCGGCCTTCTAGGGGAAATAACAAAAACCTTGGTTTCTTTGTTATTGACTTCTATGAAATTCAAGAACTTGAATGATCAGTGCCAGTTTCTCCTGGTCCGAGTTACCCCCTCCGGAGGGTTGACCCGAATAGCCAAGCCAGGGCAGCCAATGCCCTCGGTGCCTCAGCCTCGAGGGTTTGCATTAGATCCACATAGACCTCCATGGCAGACTCAAGGCTGACGTCTCCCAAACAGCACCGTTAACACCGCAGTGCCAGCGCTGTGCCCGAAGAGCCCGGCTAGCCCAGGGTACCCCCAAAGCAGGTGTGTACAGGTAGTTTCTTTGGGTGGGAACCCCAGCGAGCATTGGTAGGAGAATGGAAAAGTGAGACAGAAAAGGAAGGACGCAAATTTGGGGTATGTTAACGGTCAGGTCACTGCAGCAGACTCCTGGGGACTCCTTGGGCATGGTGTAGACCAGGTCCCAGATGTGTCCCACTGTGAGGGTAAAGATACTGAGGGTATTTGTTTGACCTACTGATTCCTACTTGTCATCGGTTAAAGGCCGTTCCCAGTGGCCTTGACTTCCCCGGTCCCCCCAGCCTACCCCGTGCTTGTGTCAAGAGAGCTCAGGCAGCAGGAGAAAACCCCCAGGCAGAGTGGCAGGACCCCCTGGCGAGCAGCCACGAGCTGAAGGGGCGTAGGCTGGGCGAAACCCGTTGGCGTTTCAGCAACGGAGTCAGCCCTTCGTGGTCCTTCTGGGTGAGGGGAAAACAGCTCTCTGACCATCAGACAACCATGAGTAAAAGCTTTATTGCTTCAAGCACTTTAGAGGAATGTCACCAACACCTCTCTGGGGCGAATATATAAAAAGTACAATCATTTCAACTTCTCAACTAATGCACTGTACAGACGCTTCCCGGACCTCCCCCTGCGGCGAGGCCGGTGCCTTTCAGTTGCAGCAGCTGCACTTGTTTGAGCCTCCTTTGCAGATGCAGCCGCGGGCGCACTTGGCGCAGCCCGGAGGGCAGCAGGGGCAGCAGCCTGGACAGATGGGGAGATGGACAGGTCAGGCTTGGGTCCTCCCTGCTCTCTTACCCCTTCCCTTCCCCCCACTTAGAGGGAGTAGGTAAAGAAGAGCCTGCCACGGGCTTCAGCCCAGAGTCACGGCAACCCTGGGATGGGAAGCCGTGGGAGTTGGAGCTGGAAGGGGCCTCAGAGGCCAGGCAGAGCCTGTCAGAGGCCCAGGGACGGGGAGGGGCTTGCCCAAGTTTGTTGGACGGTGGCTGATGGGAGCCCAAAACCCAGAGCTCATGACCCCAGGCCGGTGCGCTCTCCCCTTCTCCCCTGGGCAGGCTGGAGCCGCCTCTCAGTCCTCTTCCCACTCTGAGCACCTGAGACACTGTGGAGGCCCTCACCGCTGGGGGACAGCAGTCCTGGGGAACCCGGCTCTCATTTCAGATCCCTGCCAAGGGGGTAAAGGGCATCCAGATACCCTCCCTCCCCCCATGGCTGGAGGCCTGAGGATGGAGGGAACCGACTTCCCTAGCTCCTGGCCCGCGGTGCCCTGGTCACCATACTCACTTTTTCGACATGTTTTGCAGCTGCAGGTTGTGCATTTGCAGTTGTCTCCACAGATGCAGACTCCTCCTAGAAGAGAGGACAGAGCCACCCGCGTGAGGGCCGAGGTGGCGCGGGGAACACCAGGTGTGAGGCAGCCGCCACAGTGGCAGGATTCCCGGCTGTCCCTGGGCGGTGTGGACAGGGGGCGAAGACGCTGCGGAGCATCCCCCCAAGTGGCGAGGACCGCCCCGTGGTTCCCAGTCACAGTCCGCACACAGAAACTGGGGCGGCTGCCTCAGCGACCCCCAGGATCCTCATTAAAATGTAGATTCCTGGGACCAGGCTTTGAGATGTTCTGATTCGGAGGTGGGGAAAGGGAGGCAGTATTTTAGAGAAAGCGACACAGGATTCTGCTGTAGAATCAGGGTTGAGAACCACCGGACGAGGCCAACTCCCCAAGCCCCAGGTCTCCCAGGGACCGTCAGAGCCTTCTGTACCCTCCTCACCTGGTCAAGGTCCCGGGCAAGGTGGGAGCCCTGAATGGTCAGGAAGGGGAGCAAAGGACATAAACAAGCCCGAAGGGAGAGCCGCGGGCACTGCTGTTTCCGTACCACAAAGGCCACACGTTTTAGAAAATCATCCCACCTATCGTTTTGAATTGCAAGATGCTGGGAACTCCTGTCTCTTTGGCAAGTTCTTTGGGTACAGACATGTCCCGTTAAAGACCACAGAGGCTGGGGAGATTTCATCATACCCTGCACCAGGGCTGTAAAACTCAGGATGGCCCTGAACCGCGGCCCCGCTCCTCTTGGCCAACGTGCTTCTGTGGCATTAAGCGCTTTCAGAGACTCGGGAGTCCACGTGGACTTCTAATGACTCCCCGGACAACTGCTAGTGCTTTATGATGCCTGCAAGTTTGCAGCTTCCCTGGGAGGTGGGCAGGGGGTGGGAGGTGAGTAACCTAGTTTCCATGAGGAAACGGACACCTGGAAACGCTGAGTCAGGAGGGATGGCAGCAATGGACTAAAACCAGGCTGCCAAGCTCTGGGCGCGAGCTCTTCTCCTGTCCTGGTGGCTGCTCTCAGGGGCCTGCTGCTGGGTGCCCCCTGCAGACATTCCCGAGCCAGGCTATCACTTCTTACAGACCAGGCTGGTGGCCAACTGAGAGTGGGAGCTGCCCCAGGGGTCTCCCGTCTGAAACCAACACCCCTGGCCGGCCCTAACTGCAGGAGGAGAAGTGTGAATCAGACGCCGGCAGGCTCCCTGGAGGAAGCTGGGGCAAGGCCCCAAAGCCCAAGTGGGCATCCTCACTCACCAGACATGCAGGAGCATTCCCTGGGGTCCATGGTCCAGGTATCTGAGAGGCTCCAGTGCTGTCTGTGCTGGAGAAGGGAGGCCGAGTGAGCTGGAGGCTGCCTATTTATAGCCGTGTAGCTGTAGGTGTAGGTTCACCCCACCTCTCCCTGGGGCCAGACGCCTTGCACACGGCCCAGCCTGACACCACAGGCTGGGGGTTGGGGAGAGCAAGCGGGAGAGGGGCAGAGGAGAGCGAGAGCAGTATAGTCATTGAAGTGGCTTTTCACCACAAGGTATGCAGGTGACTGCCCCCGCCCACCTGCCAAGGTGTCAAGCTCTATGGCACTCGCAGGGTAGTTGGCAGCTGCATCCATCCAGTCTCCCCGCCCTGTGCATTCTATCATCCGCCAGTTCTGTCTGCTCCTTCGCGGGGGCTGCCCCCTCCCGGCTCAGGGTCTCAGCTGTCTCCCCTGATTGGGCAGAAGGGGCCCGATCCTAGGATCTGGGCTTTGAAAGTCCCCACGCGGGCCCTCTCCTGGGTGTGGCTCCCAGTCCCCATGGGTGAGAAGGCCAAAAGCCAAGGCCATGTGCAGCCTCTCCATTTAGACCACACGTGGGGGAGCCAGTATTCATTCATCCCAAGCCCACTTGCTCCCAAGGGTTGGCTCAGTCTTCCTCTCCAGGTCCCCAAGGACACCTGTACAGCCCATGTGTGTCCCTCTCAGCCTGAGGGGTGGCCGGGGGTGGCTGTTCGCAGGGGGGCAATCAGAGCTGGGTGTGTGGGCAGGGTGCCCACCGGTGTGTGTGAGGCCCCGCTCAGTGGGGGAAGCAGCTAGGTGTGGGAAGAGAAGGGGGTGGGCCGCCGCTTGGGGATTGGGACCACTGGGCAGATCCTGACAGCTCTGTAGTCCTCTGAGAACCATACATTTGAACTTGGCCATCCAGGCTACCATGAACTTCATTTTGTCAGGGTAAGAGGATAGAACATATTTTGTTTATTTGTTAATTTGACTTACAACTTTTAAATCTTTTAGCCAAGTAACATGTGGACCACATTCATACTGTTGTGCCTCCCTAAACATTGGGAGGTACCTGGAATAGCCTCCTGTGGTCTTGCTTCCTTCTCTTCCTCCTCTACACTGGCCCAGAGATGTATTACTAAAAATAGCATAGGCTGTGTTACTCTCTTGCCCCAAACCTTCATTTGTTGGCTCCCCACATTTGTTGAATGAAGCCCAACATCTGAACTTTGAACTTCAAGCTCAACGTACCTTTCTGAGCCACTACTCACTACTTCCTTCTACCTGTTCCACCAAAACGCAAAGCTCCAGGATCTCTGTGATTGCCCAGGCCTGTGCTCCTGGCAGGTGTTCATCTTCTCCCTATCACCTTGAGTCCAAATAAATCCTCCCCATTGACCGAGGCATGTGCTTCAATGCCATCTCTTGGGAGGTGAAAGCAAGAAGGAGCTTGAGAGGGACTCACCCACCCGCCAGTCTCCACCATGACCCCCTTCTTTGATATGGATGGCTGACTACTTTTCAGTCTTACGCAAAGTGCCTGCCATGAGCTCCAAGCTTCCCCCTCCTCCTCTCCCCACATAGAAATTCTGCAGGTACTGCTGATCCTACTTCTTCCAGGGAGCTGCCTCTGATCGCTCCCTCTCTCGGCTGGAAGAAACCTCTCCCTATGTGGCTGCTCAGGGATGTGTTTGTGCATTTCTCATGACATTTACTACTTTTTATTCTGCTCTGTGTGATTATGTGTGTTCGTGGCTCTTGTGCCCCTCACCCCAATCTGGGAGCTTTGAGGAGCAAAGCCTGTTTCTGAAGCATCACTACATCCACACAGTGTTCTGCACAATGTTTAGGGGATGTTTAATAAATGAATGAGTCAATCAGTCAATCAATGAATCCATGAGTCAGTCAATGAATCAATCAGATGAATATCTGAATGACTGAAGACATGAGTGAGACTGAGCGAGCATATAAGTGAACAAATCAATGAGTGAATTAATGATCAGTGACAAATGCACGTATCTCCTGCATGTGGGTTCTGAGGACCTCTGCTGAAAAATGTTGTCACAATTCAGAAAGGCAAAAAAAAAAAAAAAAAAGAGGAGGGGCAGGGACTGGCCATAACCTCTGGAGATAATCCCCCCAATTTGTAGGTTAATGGGGTCTCTATCTCTTACCCGTAAGGACCACCAGGGCCTCAGGCTGACCCGTGGATCCATGGGTTTGAGCTGAGACTGTCTAACGAGGAGAAAGGGATTGCAGGGCACTGGGGAGGGCTAGGTAGGGGCAATAGCGTAGTGATCCCAAAGAGGTCCCTGCCAGAAACGCGCTCACGGCCTAGTGGGGGACCCAGGCTCGCTCATTCATTCATTCATTCAACAACTTCTGGGGGCCAGCACTGCGCTGGGCACCTGGGAGCCAAAGGTGAAGAAAAGTAGAGGTTATGGTTCGGAAGGTCAGGAGGGCGTCTCAGCTCGGGAAACCCGCGGCTGGGCAGGGCAGAGCCCAGAGGCGGGAACCATCTTCCCGGGCCTGCATTCCCAGCCCAGTCCAGCCCATCTCTGGGCAGGGCCGGCTTCCCCCTACAGCGTGGGTGTGCTGCCTCATCGATAATAATGCCTTGGAAGGTCTGGCCCAATCGAGTGAGCTTAGGGGGAGATAGAGACTTTCCTTTACCCCTGCCTGAGCCCCCTCTCCTCCCTCTTCACGACCTGTGAATTCGCTACCTGTGAGCTACCTCTCTCAATATCTGTCCAGGAATTGCTTCTTCCTTGGACAACTGAGGCTCCGACGTTGCCTAATGCCCCAACTGAATAATAGCAAAATCCAATTCCCTAGCATGATGCTATTTCCCAGCCTCTGGGCTGTGCGGGTTGAAACGGCTGTGCATGGAGCAGTGGAGTCCATGCTGAACTGCGCGCCTGGCTGCCCGGCTCCTTTCACACAGTCCTTCCCTGCTTCTGCAGCCCCTGTTTCCACTTTGGCCCATCTTCTCTGTCCCAGCTCCCGACGCCTGCACGGCAGAAGGAAAACAAGGGCACACACGCCACCCCAAGAACTCTCAGTGGATGGTGAGCGCAGCTCACAGCCACACTTAGAAAGGGACTATTTCTTCAGAGACGTGATCCTTAGCCTTCTCGGGGGGATTCAAGGAGCCCTTTAAAATCTGATGAAAACTCTGAGCCCTCGACCCAGGGGGAAAAAAATGCACAAATACACCGCACTTTCCCGCGAGTTCAAGGATTTTGCGGATCTCTTAAACCCCATGGGTGACCCCCGCCCCGGGTCCCTGAGTTGAGGACTCCTCCGCAAAGAAGCAGTCCGTGCAACACCTCCTCTGTTATTACACAGCAGCTGCGGCTCCTTTGAGCCACTGAGCCCGAAATAGCTCTTTCTCCAGTTATGGCCTCTCCTTGAGGCCTAAGTCACGTCAGGTGGTTCCCTCAGAATGATGAAAACAGGTTGTTCCAAGGAAGCAGCGAATGCTCTAGTGCTTACACAACACAAAATGACAGCCTTTTCTTCTTCTCCCCTCCCCATAAAAGCTAAACATAGGCAATCCCTACGCCCAGCAGTTTCTGCCAGAAAGGAGTTTCTGGGAGTCCTGGCCTCAGAATGGAGTTCAGCCACGTGGTGATGGACGAGACAGGTCCCCCGCTGTGACTCCACACCCTGGTCCGTGCTTGGCTCTCGGGATCGCCAACCTTTCCCTTGGAACCTTCTGGACACGTGTGGCTCCCCGGGAGTGGCCTGGGGCCACTGGTTTTATTGTGCTGGTTTATAAGCGAACCTCTTGCCAGACCACAAGGTTCTCAAGGACAGAGGCTGTACCCACTCGTCCCCGCATCCCCATGGTGGGGCACGCTGAGTGCTGCCACACAGTGGGGCCTCAAGAAATGTTGACGGGCTGGTGTGAGTAAGGGGCTCAACTGACAGAGTTACATCTCGGCTGCCCTCTGTGGCTCTCGCTGAAGAGATTTAGAGAAATGTGTTGCTCACCGAGAGCACTCCACAGCTTGAGACCTGGAGCCACGCGGCCTGGGTTCTTTCTAATCCAGACTCCGCGCCTTCCTTGCCGCGTGGCTTGGGGCAAGTCGTTGACCTCTCTGAGCTTCAGTTTACTCATCTGCAAAGTCAGAGTAATGGAAACAATAACCCCATACCCTGTCGTTGTGAGGGTTACGTGAGAGAAAGGACACCGAGCACTTAGTTCAGCATCTGGCACATAAATAGTATTATTGTTATTACTATTAATGCTGCTGTTATTACCTGTGCCTATTACGACTGGGCAGATTTGTTAGGACACCACCCATTTGTGTGTTTCAGGCTCAGAGACTGGTCCTGGGGTCCTGAGCAGGATGCGTTCATCGGCCGCAAATATTGGGAAGAATTTTAATCTCTGGGTTCCCTGATTTTAAGCTCAGCCTAATTCTTTTTGGGTCCCAGGTTCCGGGGAGCACGGGACCCTGTTCCTTCTGACTCCCCCTCCTGCAGTCTCCATATGTTTGGAGGCAAAGTTGACCTTCCACCCACAGAGTCCTCTTTTGGGGTACCTCTGGCCTCACCCGCAGGACTAGGCGTCAGAGGTCGCTGGATGACATCAGAGCAGGCAGGGCTCTTGGGGGCACCAGTGGGAAGCCTGTGTGGTCAGCATTGGGAGAGCCCTGAGAAGTCCTGGGCCAGCTCCTTGCTGGTGAAGTGGGGAAGCAGAGGCCCCAGGGAGACACTGTCGACCTCTGGTCACGGAGCATGGTGGTGGCAGGGGGATTTGAACCTGGCTCCGCAACTCCTTGCCAGCACCCCCACTTTAGGTCTAAGGCACTCATGGCACACGTTTCCGCAGTTTGGAGCCTTGTGGCCTTATAGACTGTTCATTAACTAACTCGATTACTCAAAAGCTCAAACATACTGTAAAGGACAAAGGATAGCATTACAAACGCTGCAGTATCCACCACTCAGCATTAACAAGTGCCAACACTGTCACATTTGCTTCAACTCTTCTATTCATAAGAAATAAAAAATGAATGAGCTCA